TATATATATATATATATATATATATATATATATATATATATATATATAAGTCAATCATTGCTGAGAAAACTGGTAAATTGAGCTTTCAAAAGATTCCAGACTTGTGCAAATAAAAAATTCCATGTGCTGCATGCAAATTCATCACTCTCAAACAAACCTGCAGATTCATTTCCCATTCCTTAAAAATAAAAATATTTACAACAAAAACAAATTTCTTAATTAATTTTTTTTTTTAATTTAAATAAAAAAGTGAAATTTATGTTTGCTGCATTTGCTCTCTCAAATCTCGGAGGGGCCCACCGTAGCCTTTTTCGTGAACCTTCTTCTTCCCACAGATACACTTACTAATGTTGAGATTAGTGCCGCAATCGAGGCATAATCCTCTACAATTAGGACCACACAGAGCTGTAATGGTGATCTCCACATGTATAAGGTCTCTTATATTCTTCGAAATATCGACCACTTTTTCGTCTGGAGGAAAATATAACTGATCGTCTAAGTCGATTAAGCTATCATCACTGTCTTCTGCTTCAACGCTTTTTAATTTCTCGTCTCCGAAAATCGTACCCAAGTTTATGGTATCGGATTCTTGGAGGGGTTCTTCACACAGTAAAAGTGAGAAATCGGAGTAGATACTCTGCGCAGCTGGTTCGTCACACCTTCACAAATCGGTAAATTAAGATAAATTACTTACTTAAACAAATACTTGAGCTACACAAATAAAAGAACCGTCAAGCATTTTGGCTAATCATTCGTGTCGCGTGTTGCACGATAACCAGAGCGAAAGAAAATAAATTAATATTTTTATTTAAAATTTTGAAGTTTTCTTTACTTAGGCCCAAATCCATTTACATGCAGATTTCTCTGCGTCCGAACGACTATTTGTATACACTTTCAGGCCCAAATATCAATACGATTTTTTTCATCTCCCAATAATAATGGGATCCAATGCAAAAGAAATACCATCCCATTTTTTTCAATTTTAATAAAATTACGACATATACCATTGAATCATTCCGATGTCACATCGTTAACAAGCCAAATACTTATAAGGCCCAAAAAGCACACAGAAGAGAACGATACCTTCGATTCCGATTCTTATCAAATGTTAACCAAAAAATTTCATAAGTGCAGCACACTTGACAATATACAATGATTACTTTACATCTTTTCACCGGTTTTCAATTAAACAATTTATACTATTAAGTGGCTGATTCGGTTCAAGATTATCAATCAACGCCAAATAATTCCAAGTCTTCATATGCGTTATTAGATGATCTACGTAAGATAATTTCTCGAAGTTCGGCTGAAACCTTTAAAAACAAAATCCTTACTCAAAATGCACTAATTTTCAATTGTCCGTCGTCGTAACTTCCGAAGCTCATCGTAATTGACTAATTGTAATAGCATATAACTGAATACATCAATCAAACATCCACAAGAACTAAATATATAAGCAAAAAAAAAACAATGTAAATATATCACAAGCACAATTAAATCAATGCTGCACAAAAAAAAGAAGAAAAAAAAAAAAAAGGAAATACCTGTTGCAATTAAGAGAAATGACAGTTCGAACAATTCCGTCGAGCCTCAATTTCTGTCCTCCGAGTAACATCTGCCGAAATCAACACCGGAGTTCCGTCGGGAAAATCCTTAACGGATTTCACCACGCGCAACCCCATCTCCGAATCCCGGTTCTTCGAGAATTCCGAGGATACTTTTCCTAACCCTAGCCTCTCGAGAGTAGTGCAGTACTCCAAATGCGAAACGGCGGCGTTTCGCCTGTACAAAATCGCGCCTTCCCAGGGGCATCCCTCGTCTTCATCTTCTTCTCCGATTACTTCGTCCGGAAATTCCCAATCGCTGTTGGAGGGTTTCTCGGAATGGGTGGTTAATTGGGAACTGCTGCTGCTGCTGCTGCGGGTTTTTGTTAGGGTTAAATTTGAGAAGGTGGATGGTTTTTTTAGGATTCTGTTTGTTAGGTGGTTCAATTTGAAGGTTTTGTGGAGGTATGTAGATCTTACGGAGGTGAATTGGACGAGAGAGGAAGAGGGCACGGCGGTGGTGGAGGCGGCGGCGATTGGATACACGTGTCCCAGCAACACAATCTATTGTTGCAAAATACTCTTTGTGCAATTATTATTTTAAAAAAATCGGCAATTATAAATTATTAATGAAATGTCAATTTTACTCTCTCTATTTTAATGGAATTTTAATTAATTTATTACTGTTTTTTTGAATGTTCATAATAATCTTATACACAAACATGATAAAAAAACTAATCGATATTATTTTCTAATAATGCTGATATATCCCTAATCTCTCATCAAATCAAATAAGTTCTCCATCTTCATCTTAGAAATCTGGTCTTACGGTTTTACGATCAATTCAGTTATTCATCATTTTTTTTCGACCCTTTAATTTATTCTTACTTTGCTACAAATTCGAATTGGTGCATCGTTACACTATTTCTTCAGAATAAGCTTATTTAAGGATGTCTAATTCCGAAGAATTAGGTATATTACTTGTATTTCAATAATTAAGGTTTTGGTTGAAACCCTTAATAGTTTTCTTACTTTAATCCCATATTCATATTGTATTAAAGATCGAAGGTCGTCTAATTGTGATTCTAGGTTGCCCTATGGATTTATTTGTAATTCAGGTTATGCGGATTCGTAATTAGGGTTCTTGTTAAATTATAGTTAAATTGACTTTTTTTTTTGATAAACAATTTACATCGACAAATTAATCCGTAAAAATTGTAATGCATATATAATTAGGATCCTAATAAATTCGTGTTAGGATTCTAGTTAAATTCTCAATTTTAAGTAAATACATTTTGTGACATGTGATGCAGATAATTAAGAGGTCAAACATAATTATTTTAATTAATAATGTCCTTATTTAGAAAAATATTGATTAAGGGTAATTATGTAAAATAATACTGTATATTTAAAACAGATTTAAATTAATTATTTCAGTAAAATATCATCGGGGGTAACTTAGACAATTCAATATTAATCTATTTTATATTGGTTTGATTAAAAAAATAATCGAAGGATAATTTGGTAAACTATTTCATTTTTTAGAATATAAGACATATTATTTTCCTAGGGTCCAGATTTAACCTTATAAAATTAATGGTGATTAATGCATATCTCATATAAGTTTAGAACACAGATTATCTCACCATAGTCAAGTCCACAAAAATAATCTTGAAGTGAGCGGTGATTTTTTAGGATTTTTCGCAAGTGTTCTTTTGTCAATAAAGTTAGGACTTGCGAGATAATCATAAAAGGTCGAGAGAATAATTTATCAAATAAATATGCAGTTTAAGTTATAAATCATATATGATATCATAGAAAAAACCAATGTTTTGAAAATCGGACCGAACCGGCCGGTTCGACCGGTTCAACCGCGAACCGGTCCGGTTAGCACTATAAACCCGAAAATTACAAAAAATCGGTTCAATTGTTAAAAATCGGTTTTTTGATCGGTCCGACCGAAAACCGATAAAAATGGTTTTTTGGCTGAACGCGCATTTTTAATTAATTCCCAGAAAAAACATTAAAACGACGTCGTTTTGTGCACAGAGAAAAAAAAAAACAAAAAAGGGAAGTTGTAACGTGAGAATTTTTTTCCATGTATCACAAGAAATCAATTACGATTTAATTTCTGCCCTAACTAATAGCCTAATACAACTCAACAATTAAACAATAGTAGGTTTTAATCTTAAAAAAAAACATAAGACTTTAGTTTTATTGTCTTTTACATGCATTTACTATTAACTTTAAGGGGAAATATGCAATACCCCTCAAATTAAAATATTTTGAACTAAACTCAATTGACTATTAGAGACTTTTGCCTACACCTAAGTTTCATTCTTACTTAGTGAGACACCCCTAACCAGACATGATATGACTAAAGTGCCCTTATGTGATTAGGTT